TCAAGGCAAGGAGTGAAACCAATTGTCGTCTATTGTCGGTGCTTTGCTTGCGGAGGTTGGGGGCTTCCACTTTCCCGGTGAGTCCTGCATAGCCACTCAATGGTGCGGCGCCGGGTATGATGCTCTAAAACAATACAGTAGAGGCCAGAAAGTTGGAATATCATTATCGTAACCCCTTTAGGGTAAATTATAGGAGATCCTACCCTGAAACCATATTCCAACTTTCTGGAGTTCCCTTTACATGGTGGGCCTTCCAGCTCCCATCTAATTACCCAGAGGCTCCATAGTAGTTCCCTTTTGGGGTTACCTTATAGGATTCTAATTATGAACCCCAAAAAGGAACTACTATGGAGCCTTAGGGTAATGACAAGTATAACACAATCACGAAACCCTTTACGAAAACCCTATGGAGAAGAAGCCTCCCTACATGCCGAGCATCTACCAGTTGCCAACATATCCTTTCAAGCGGTAGCACTTGCCTCTGGGTTTATGCCGCGTGATGTTTAAAGATGCAACTTCCACGTTACAGTGCCCTGAAAGCCTAAGCTACAGAAGTTGAGCTCCCAAACTCCGGAATCTCTGTGCTCCAAAACCCTTACCGACCTTGGGCAGGGAGCCCAGTTGCTCCGTGCGCAAAGTCGTATACATCGCTGCGGCAGGCTCTAAGGAGCCCCGGATTTTGGGAACCCGTGCTGCTCGTTGAGACATCCTTCCTTGTCCTCAGTTTCTGAGTCGCGGGTGCATGGAGGCTTCCAGATTGAGAGGGAACCAATACCCCTACCTAAAAGGCTCAGCTGAGCTTGTCAACATAGTTGGGGCACCTCTGGTGGGATTCAGGTCTCAGGGCCTACGGTGTAGATAGATACGTTCTGGAAACTCTCCGCTGCACGTTCACTGGCTCAGTCTTGCAGGCGTCCCCGCTCGATCCATCTGCTTGGCCCATGCCTGCCAGCATCATGGCCATCCGATGACAAATGCAACGCAGAATGCCCAACCTAAATCACGAAAGCAAGTCAAAGCGGCTGAGCCAAGGGTGGGACATATACTACATGCACCGTCAGACCACGGAGAAGACAAGGAGGACAAGTCCAAGAGCCCAGCACACGCAATGTGGGTAGTGCTCACAACAAACCAGGTAAGAGAAATAACAATCATGAACAGCCCGTTGCTCAGCTACTACCCCGACCCTGCCTGTGCGAAAGTGGCTTCCCGCACCATCAAGGCAACGCAACAGGTGTAGGCACATCTCCGGCACTGCCTTCGGACGACCATGTTGATATTTGCAAGTCTGGTAGTGCACCAGCTGGTTTCATCGCCACATGACCGTAGACATCACACCGTGCTTCATGGGGACAATGCAGGCTTTTGCCCGCATCCCCAAGCTTCTTGTGCCTGGAAACCACCAAAGAAGCACAAAGTGCTTTCCTGCTCTGGCAATTAAGCCCTGAAGCCGAAGTGCTCAACCCCAGTTTTTGATGGCTGCACCGAGAAACCCAAACCCTGAACCCGCTCGTAGCCGGTTGGACTGACACGGGCTGTGGATAAACCTTGGACCCTCTTGCAGCCACGACCCTGAACCCAAACCCTAAACAGGCTCCTTGCCAGTTGACCGGACAAGCGCTGTTGACACCGCATGATTCTGTCACGTCGACGGCGCGAAACGCATTTCTGGCAGTACCGACAAGGGCTGTTGACGTTACAAGATGCTGTCACGTCGACAAACCCTCTTGCAACTACGACCCTATAGACCCAAGCCCGCCGCTTGCCGGATCTTGCCGGTTGGAGCGACGAGGGCTGTTGACAATGCACGACGTTGTCACGTCGCCAAAACCCTCTGGAAACCATGACCCTACAAAAGCCCAAACCCTAAACCCGCTCCTTGCCGGATGAACCGACAAGAGCTGTTGACGCTGCACGATGCTGTTGCGTCGACATCGACGCCACGCTCTTGCAACTACGACCCTATAAGCCAAAACCCTAAACCCGCTCCTTGCCGAATTGAAAGACACGGGATGTTGACGCTGCATGACGCTGTTGTTTGGGTCGACATCAACGCCGACACGCCGCTCTTGCAACCACGACCCTAAACCCAAACCCTAAACCCTCTCCTTGCCGGATCATGCCGATTGGAATTCGACAAGGGCTGTTTACGCTGCACGATGCTGTCCAGTCGACGTGGACGTCGACATGACGCTTTTGCAACGACGATCCTAAACCCGCACCCTAAACCCGCTCCTTGCCGCTTGGTCGGACAAGCGCTGTTGACACTACACGACGCTCTTGCAACAACGACCCTAGACCCAAAACCCCAAACCCGCTCCTTGCCGGTTGCACCGACTAAGGGCTGTTGATGCTGCACGACGCTGTCCAGTCGACGTTGACGTCGACACGACGCTCTTGCAACCACGACCCTAAACTCAAACCCTAAACCCGCTCCTTGCCGGTTGCACCGACAAGGGCTGTTGACGCTGCACGACGCTCTGTCCAATCGACATGGACACGACGCTCTTGCAACCACGACCCTTAACCCAAACCCTAAACCCGCTCCTTGCCGGTTGCACCGACAAGGGCTGTTGACGCTGCACGACGCTGTCCAGTCGACATGGACGTCGACACGACGCTCTTGAAACCACGACCCTATATACACTCAAACCCTAAACCCGCTCCTTGCCACCTGCACCGACAAGGGCCGTTGACGTTGCACGACGCTGTCCAGTCGACGTGGAAATCAACACGACGCTCTTGCAACCACGACCCTAACCCTAAACCCGCTCCTTGCCGGTTGCACCGACAAGGGCTGTTGACGCTGCACGACGCTGTCCAATCGAACTGGATGGCGACACGACGCTCTTGCAACCACGACCCTAAACCCAAACCCTAAACCCGCTCCTTGCCGGTTACACCGACAAGGGCTGTTGACGCTGCACGACGCCGTCCAGTTGACATGGACGGCGACACGACGCTCTTGCAACCACGACCCTAAACCCAAACCCTAAACCTGCTCCTTGCCGGTTGCACCGATAAGGGCTGTTGACCCTGCACGACGCTGTCCAATCGACATGGACGGCGACACGCTCTTGCGACCACGACCCTAAACCCATACCCCAAACCCGCTCCTTGCCGGTTGCACCGACAAGGGCTGTTGACGCTGCACAACGCTGTCCAATCGACATGGACGGCGACACGACGGTCTTGCAACCACGACCCTAAACCCAAACCCTAAACCCGCTCCTTGCCGGTTACACCGACAAGGGCTGTTGACGCTGAACGATGCTGTCCAATCGACATGGACGGCGACACGACGCTCTTGCAACCACGACCCTAAACCCAAACCCTAAACCCGCTCCTTGCCGGTTGCACCGACAAGGGCTCTCTTGCAACCACGACCCTAAACCCAAACCCTAAACCCGCTCCTTGCCGGTTACACCGACAAGGGCTGTTGACGCTGAACGATGCTGTCCAATCGACATGGACGGCGACACGACGCTCTTGCAACCACGACCCTAAACCCAAACCCTAAACCCGCTCCTTGCCGGTTGCACCGACAAGGGCTGTTGTCAAGGGAGTTTTCCTTTATACCCTTAGGGTTTGTAGCCTTGGGTTTGGGTCCCTAAACCATGGAATATGGCCCTTGCAGGGGTATTAGGGACCCCAAACCTAGGGTTACAAACGTTTAGGGTGCAAACTTAAAGTCTTTGATGTTGACGCTGCACGACGCTGTTGGGTCGACATCAACGCCGACACGCCGCTCTTGCAACCACGACCCTAAACCCAAACCCTAAACCCTCTCCTTGCCGGATCATGCCGATTGGAATTCGACAAGGGCTGTTTACGCTGCACGATGCTGTCCAGTCGACACGGACGTCGACACGACGCTCTTGCAACCACGACCCTAAACTCAAACCCTAAACCTAAACCCGCTCCTTGCCGCTTGCACCGACAAGGGCTGTTGTCAAGGAGTGTTCCTTTGTACCCTTAGGGTTTGTAGCCTTGGGTTTGGGTCCCTAAACCATGGAATATGGCCCTTAATAGGGGCATTAGGGACCCCAAACCTAGGGTTACAAACGTTTAGGGTGCAAACTTAAAGTCTTTGATGTTGACGCTACACGACGCTGTTGGGTCGACATCAACGCCGACACGCCGCTCTTGCAAGAACGACCCTAAACCCAAACCCTAAACCCTCTCCTTGCCGGATCATGCCGATTGGAATTCGACAAGGGCTGTTTACGCTGAACGATGCTGTCCAGTCGACATGGACGTCGACATGACGCTCTTGCAACCACGATCCTAAACCCAAACCCTAAACCCGCTCCTTGCCGGTTGGACGGACAAGCGCTGTTGACACTACACGCTCGTGCAAACACGACCCTAGACCCAAAACCCCAAACCCGCTCCTTGCCGGTTGCACCGACAAGGGCTGTTGTCGCTGCACGACGTTGTCAAGTCGGCGTCGACCTGACACTCTTGTAACCGTGGTAATCACGACCCTAGACCAAAACCCGAAACCCGCTGCTTGCCGGTTCTTGCCGGTTGGACCGAGAATTACAAGGGCTGTTGACGATGCACGCTTGCAACCACGATCCTAAATATACTTTGAATCCAAACCGTACACCCGCTCTTGCCGGTTGGACCGACAACAAGGGCTGTTAACGCTACAGGACGCTGTCATGTCGAGCGTTGACGCTGAATGACTGACGCTGTAAAGGTGTTTGTATTTAACTTATCTCAGCATGCAGGAAGCCGACCAGCCAACGCGAATTATCATCCCGCGTGGACTGGGACACAGCTTGCACGTGTATGCATGTGCTCTTTTACATGTGAATTTCAGCAGACAATGACACGATGTCTTCGAATATGACGGGAGTTGCACAGCATGCCAGTGTTCTGGCGTCGACGACCGACGACCGCCACGGAAAATCTCCAGGTTTGGAGCGAATAATTTATTCAAGTGGCCTGCGGCGGCTTTCTGGCAAACCACAAATTCGAGCAGAGCAGTGGCACTAGCGAGAGCCACTACTGGTGTCCGGCTTCACTCCATGATCTGGCCTGACGACCTGGGGTTGCAGAGACATTCTGCGGAAGGTCTGTGCAGAACCGCCGACGATAACAACTTGGAGCTGCAGAGTATCCTCCACAGCTTGCAAGTTGCACAACCTCTCGGAGTCATAAAGCTTGGAGGGAGCTCTTCGCGCTGTGCTTAGGCAGAAGAGCACCTGATGAGCAGGCTTGATTGTCCATTTCTGGTCGATCTCCTCTTTCCTCAGCTGGAAGATGCGCGCAGACAGAGGGGTCGGCACAAACACTGTACCAGTACCAACAACGCGAGTCGACCCTTGAACTATCTCTGCGATTATAGTTGTAGTATACGGGGATGCTGAGTAGGCCTTTGGGGTACTGGAAAGCTACATCGGGACAAGCAGCACGTCCGACACGAACGCGCCCATGGAAACCGGGAAACGGAGGCACTTGCCACTCAACAGGTACACTTCCACCCATCTCGGCATGGCTTCGCGGAGGCAGCCCTTTCCTGGAGCTCTTAGACCGGTAAATGTGCGATAGATGCCTACAGGATTTCCTTCCTCACTGCTTATTTCATTGGGCCAGACGAAGTGTACGCATGGCAGAATTAACTCTATAACCCACGCAATGAAAACACAACTATCAGTCAGTTGTTTCGGCACAACTGAATCCTGCATACAGCTTCTTCTAACAATCATTCTCTTGCATACCGGGCCACAGGTATGCTTACATGCCCGTTGTTGGGACTCAGTTCTTGTTCGTTAAGATGGTCCAGGAAAGGATGGTAAGCTCCGTCCACACATGGCTTGATGAGAAAGCACAGGCTGCGTGCGGTCCAAACTGCCTGTCTTGCAGCCCGGTTTGTGCACAACAGCAGCAGAATGCCGCATGCATGACTGTTTGTGTGCATATGCAAGCTAGCGCAAATATTCCCTGGGAAGGGGCATGCGGCATGCTCATATGCATATGTCCTTGAAGACGGATGTAAGGGAAAAATGGTGAGAAGCTGGAGAACAAGAGATTAACAAGCCAAAGCTGAGAGTGAAGCAAGCTCCAAGGCAATACCAAGTCCAAACTCTTAACCCTCGGCCCGACTCCCCCAAAACCTCGCACTCTAACTCTTGAGCCCCAAACCCTAAGCCCATCAACACCCTTATAGAAGACTTATAGACCCTACAAACTCCTTGTGAAGGAAGCCCTTATAGAAACCCTCCCGAAACCCTAAGGGTTTCAAACCCTCAACCTGTATACCGGAAGCCCACTGCCTCCTCGCGTCTTCGGGCTAAGGGACTGGCAGGAGATCGTCCGATTGCCGATGCGAAGGCCCGCAAGGGCAAACTGCCAGTAGCCATCCTCCCGAATCGCGATAATGAGGGGTACCTTATTAAATTTGGGGGTCCTTATAATAAGGATCCTACTTCTTAGGGTACTACATTAAGGTCCCCTGTTTTCGGAAAATCCGAAAGCTGATCGGTACCATCAGGTATTGCAAGGGACTACTGCTAGTTACTATAAGGACTACCCTAAAGTACCCTCAGGAGGTAGCATGAGGGTTCCGATCCGATAGGCAGCCTTCGCCAGGCCGACACCCAAAACTAGATCCCTGATCGCTCAAGATCCAAAGGGAACGAAAAAGCCGCAAGGGCAGTTCTCTAAATCAGGGGTACCTTTTCAGCTCCCCAAACTGGTACGGCACGCTCAGAACAAGGACCCTAACTAAAAGGGGCCCTAATTTAGACAAATACCCACATCGAACTCTCTCAGGATTTTCATACTTCACAAGTCCGAGATGGTCGGGCACGGGGCTCAAAGCTTGTGCGCATTCAAAAGGGGGCTTCTTCAAGGTGCACTTGTTCCGAGCGCTTGCCTAGGCTAGTCTTGGAAAGGCCACGGTGCAGTCGGAATAAGCCACAAAAGTCTCGAGGTTTATGCGTCCAACCTCGCCACCCCAAGTAGAACGATGGAAGCTTTAGTGACGAAGCTAGAACAGGTAGCTTCTTGAGACTCTTGAAGCCTCAATCCGAAAAGCCTGAACTCCAAACCATGAAGCCTCTGGACTCCTACGTCGCCAACAGAAGCCCCTGAACCTGTACCTATAGTCTCCATTGTAGTTCCTTTTTTTGGTTAACCACAACCTCATTTATAGGATCCTAACCATTTAAAACTGGTTAACCAAAAAAAGGAACTACAATGGAGACTCTAGGTATAGACTCGACAGCCCAAAGAATCCCCGAGACCTTTAAACAAAGACTCTGTAGACTCTAGCCGGGAGCAATCACGCCTCCGGCTGGTGCACCGGAGCCCAATTCAGCTGTGCTGGGTCGCCTATCACACTTTAGGAGGAGGAGTGGCTTTGGGGCTTCGGGTTTAGAGTCTAGAGGTGGGCAACTGAGATTTTGGCTTTGCATAAGGTTATAAGACTACGGAAGTTTGGGACGTGGAGTTTCGCTATTTCGGGTTTAAGGTTTACTGAGGTTAACGGTTTTCGGGTCGGACCTTTCCCGATAATTAGGCTGAGGGCTGCTCCTTGGTCTCTTGTTTGGGCTAGAATGGACTACTAGACTCACGAAGTCTGATTTCTTGAAGCTCCACTTATCTCTGTAAACGTAGAGATGGCAACAAGCGACTTGTTCACACGAAGTTGTGCCTGTTGAGTGGCAACCTCGATTTTCTGCAACAGCACGCCGGTCACTCGTGCGCACTACCAAACCGAATACACCCTCGACAGGCCTTAAACCCCGAATAGATTCTATGGTTTACAACACCTTCTACCCCATAACCCAGTAGTACAACACCCATGTTATAAAAGCAGCCGACCAACAATAAGTCGAACTGATAGCATCCTAAGGGCCCGAAAATGCCTTCAGGACCGCTTCAGTCTGGAATCAAGCTCTTGAACTACAAAGCACCGTCCCGTGTCGGTTCAGAGCCTTTCTTTAACACCAAACCCATCCGGAAAACGGTCACACATTCTTGCTTCCTACATAAATCCCAAATCCGAGGGGGAGCGCGATCCGCAAGATGAAGCTGGCACCCCCAAAGCTAACCCGCCCTACATCGCAAACATACCCAAAAGTATACCCAGACTTCTATAAACTGAACCTGCAGCCAAGAAACCCCCACGAGCCTGAAGCCCAAACTCCCCAAGCCGCCTCGAAGGCGTGTGGGGTTCAGGCCGCCGATTGACAGCTCCCCACCATCCGCCTGTCATGGGTTTTGGGTTTAGGGTTTGTGGTTTTAGGAGGGGTTTCGGGGATTAGGGGCTTAGGGTTTAGGGGTTTAGGGGTTTAAGGGTTTGGGGGTTTTGGGTTGAGGATGCTCAGGAACAGGGTTGGCAGGTTTTTTTGGGCTTCGAGATTTGGATACTGCTCTCGGATTTAGGGTGTATAGGAGGCTTTACCAGGATTCTTAATGTTAAAGCCAATAATGTCGGCATTTTACGTAACGGGAAGACTATCGATCTCTTCAACAAGGAGGCAACGCATCTTTTGTGTGATGTCTTCTGCTGGTTGACCTATATAATGAAGCATCCGACATATCCGAAACTCCTTCCTTGGCCTCCGAAACCGTGCGTCCTTCTTCAAATAGAATCCTCAGCAAGCCCCCAAACCCCTAACACGCCCCCCTAGTAACCTCATACGTGAATCAACATAAAGTCTATAAATCTCAAGTAACCACAGTAACCCTACGTAAACCATTCCCTACACCTTGACTTAGCCCTTCCCCCCAACAAATCCTGACTACGACCCTTTAAAGACACCCGCTGAACCCTAACCCGTAAACTGCAAGCCCCCGAAGCAGCAACATCTCAAGCTCGGCGCCTCCAAGAAAACGCCGAAGCGCCGGGCCATTCCGCTTGGAAGATCGAGACCTCAGCTCAGGGATTCTTTAGGAGGGGCCCCCACCCTGTAATAGTGGTATAATAGGAATACAATAGGGCCCTAATATAATCCTTATAGTCACTATTACAGGGTGGGGGTAGCTTCTAAGGGATTCTGGTGTGGGACTTGCGTTTCTATTGGGGAGGGGGGTTAGGATTCCTGAGGGGTTCCGGGTTTAGCATGGATGGGCTTCAGGGTGAGGGTGTTGGACAGGACTGCGTTTTAAAATGGGACATTTATGGAGCTTTTGTTGGTTCAAAAGGCTCGATAGACTCTGCCTAGTCTTTAGGATTTAGGGGTTCGGGCGTTTAAGGTTTAGGGGTTTAGGGGCAATAAAAAAATCTTTTGGAGGGTTGTGCAGGGTTTTATGCTGTGTAGCAAACTAAGCTAGCTCTGAAAGAAACTGGGCCCCGAGCTCAAAGTTCAACGTTTTGCTGTCTTAATGCTTGATGTTCAGCATAACATAGTGTTCAGGGATTTGGATTCAGAGCATTCGGTTTATACCTGCAACCCCAAAACCAAGAAGCCCTAACCCAGGGTAAATCCTAAACCCAGGACTCACAATCCAAGCCTCCCCAGATCCGAAGAAGCTGTAACCCCAGATGATTTTCAACAGGGGCCGGTGTAGTTAGAGCTGTTTGTCATTGTTCGTTCTTGGGTTACCTAGCTGTAGAGAGTTCAGGGAACCGGCCATCGGAGGTCTTGGTGGATTTTTCGGGAGGTAGATCGGAATTAGGGGACATGAGGTTTGGTCACAGCCCAGGCATCTATTGATCACGCCCTAATAGCATTGTCTTCGAAGCTTTGGGCGTAGCGGTGTGTACCAAAGCTTAACACTGCATGAAGCCTTAGCGTTCCCACCACATGGGACTGCTGAGGTTTCACGGAAGACCCAAACTCCGTAAGGCGAGAAGACCACAGCCAGAAAAGCAAACCTCCTTAGGTTCTGAAGTGTAGTACCTGTACTTGGTCACCTCATCTTCCTATCTTCGGATCCCAATCATAGAATACGTTACCCGATGAAGGTACTGCAGTGCTTCTAGAACTCATTGTCTACGTGTGTCAGACTCCATTTTCTTAAAGCTGGGCTCAGTCGTATCACACAGAACAAGCATATCCGACCAAAGCTTGTGAAAGGACCTCATCTGGCTATGAGCATCAAGTGAATGGAGGCAGCAGTGTGGCTGGCCTTGTTTGAAGTGGGATGCCGCGGCATTGCCGAACCTTGCAGGGTGGCGCCGGACTGCTGTACCCGAGAAGTTCCTCTGCCCATGGCGAGAATGGCTCGGTAGGTGTCGTGGCGGCTTGGGTGCATGCGGCAGTCGGAAGCATCGCTCGTTGCCGTAGAGTTCGGTGAGAAATGCAACTGGCCATCGAGGACAAGGAACGATGCGCTTGCGCACACGACATCTTCTCAGTGGTAGCACATTCTTGGTGGCAAAAGGTTGCCCAGGACAGTAGCAAGGCCCTTGCATTTTCAAGTTCAGGTTTGTGAAGCTTGCAAGATGCTCGCATTCACAAGTTCCTGTATGCAATGACTGTCTACTCACAGAGAATGCATGAAAGTCCGCTTTAGCTATGTAAGGCTCCGTTACAGCCCGTACGCATCGCATGAGCAGCTTCTCTCCAATCCAAACATTTGCTCCATGTCCAATGAGCTCACAACGGAACCAACCCTGGCTTAAAAGCGAGGTTGAAATATTCTGTGCCAGTTCAAGCCACCTTTCTGGAGTGTCAGCGCGGACGAACCACTCCAAGTCTTTGTCCAGGACATGTACCCTTCCGGGGCTCTGCTTGCCATGAAGCTCACCCTCGCGAAGGATCCCAATCAGTGTGCCTCCGCTCGGAAAGTATTGAGCCTGAGCTCTTCCCAGAGCCGCAAGGCAATTGTCCAGCGCACGGCGCAGCTCGAGCGAAGTCAGCTGCACCACTGGCACATGATGCTGCATCCACTGCCGGGCAGGTGGCAGAAGCAATGACTTCGTGCCAAGATGAGTTAAGAGCCAGCCCACATGATTCAAGAAGTCCGGAAAGGCAGTGGGTTTGTCAACGACCCGCAAGAGACGCTTCGCCTGTCTCAGCACCCTCTGCCAGGGCCAGTCTCTCCGCTCCCTCGATGCTCGGATCTCCTTCATGGCGCTCCGCAAATTCCGGGCTCCCTCCTCCACGGTGGCTCTGCTCAGCCTAGGAGGTGCTTCTAAAGCCTTTGAAAATATTAAAAGTAAGATCCTCTTAAGCCCAATGAGAGCAAATATAAAATGCCACAAAGGCCCTACCTAGTTATAATCAGGAACCCACCCCCAAAAAATAGTATTCCCTATATACTAACCAAAGGTAAGTTATAGGATTACTAAGGCCCCTATATTATAGTACCCTTTTAATTATAGATCCCTTATAGCAACCCTAACCAAAGGTAAGCCTGGCAGCTGCTTCGCTGGAAGGCTCTCAGAGGCGAAGAGCGACAGGGCCGAGGCCAGAGCAAGCTTGGCCTCGAAGAAGGGTAAACGGAGGGACCCTTAATATCATAACATAGGGTTCCTTTAAAAGGGTCTCTAAGGGTTACTATAAGGGATCTTTAGTTCAGGGTTCCTTTAAAAGGGTCTATAAGGGATCTATAGTTCAGGGTTCCTTTTTGAAGGGTCTGTAAGGGTTACCATAAGGGATCCATAGGTCTATTCTGGGCTTGGCCTCGAAGAGGCGCAGGAAGGCCAGGGCCAAAGCCACGCAGCCCCCGAGGCCTTCCAGGCCTTCCCGGCCTGGGGTTTAAGGTTTAGGATCTAAGGTTTAGGATGTAGGGTTTAAGGTTTAGGGTTTAGGGTTTAAGGTTTAGGGTTTAGGGTTTAAGGTTTAGGGTTGAGGGTTTAAGGTTTAGGGTTTAGGGTTTAAGGTTTAGGGTTTAAGGTTTAGGGTTTATAGGGTTTAGGGTCCCGGCCTTCCATGTGGTCGGCGGAGAGGATGAGCTTGCGCTGGGGGGCCTGGGCCCACCGCGGCACGGAGACGGAGGTGCTGTTGAAGAGCTCCCAGGTGTAGGTCCTCAGGTCTTCGAAGATCTGCCGCTGAAAACAGCAACTTCCGTCGGGTAGTAGGGAATATGTGACGAAATCCACGCAGCTCATAGCCGAGGCATACCGCAACGCAGCGGCCAGGTAAATGCATCGCATGACCCTCGGGTCGCTGAAGCTCAATCCTCCCACGTGCCATGCAAGTCGAAGGCTTCAGCCACAGTACTTCCAAATCTAAGCGAGTCGGTGCTCTAGAGCGAACTCAGCCCACAGCACACAGAGGATTCCATGGCGGAAGGTGCCAGGCTTCAGGGCATGGGGGGATGTGTGATTTCGGCGAGTTTGCACGTTTTGGGTTGTGGGGTTCGGGGCTTTTGGATGTCGGGCTCTTGTTTCCGTCTGTGTTATCGGTTTAGAATATGTTGGGGCTCTAAGGCGGGCGTGTAGGGGCTTGCTTGTGGCTTTGATTTTGACACACGGCTAATGCGACTCGTTGATCTCGAGGTTGAGTGAATTCGATATGTTAGGCTTGAGGAGCTGTGTTCAGATCTGTAACTTAGATTCACGAATGTGTGGACTACGGATACAAGAATCAGAATCCTAGACCCTTATCCGTAACCTGAAATCCCAAAATTGCAAACCCTGATCCCTGAAGACAGCACTGCAGTGAGGAGAGACTGCAACCTGTGAGGCTCGCTGAAACTTACAGCCTGTCGTATCGGCCAAAAGACAGAACCTAAACCCTAATCCTGAGAAGACAGAACATCTTGCAACATGGAACATCCCGAAACCATACGAATCACTCACCACCGAAGCAAGCCTAATGCTCTGAGGGCCGAGAGTCTGTCACTTAGCAGGAAAGCAAACGTATAGACAGTATCGAGCTCAGGTTTTCAAGTCAAATCTGATGTATCTTGAGGGTAGTCTATACCCGCCCTAAACCTTATGTAGTTGATCCACAAGTGGCTTGCCGCTGGACTTTCCCAAGACTGCCGGCATAAACCCTAAACCCTAAAGCTTAAAACCTAAACTCTACCCATAGGCCCCAAAGTAGTTCCATTTTGGGGTTCATAGATAGAATCCTATAAGGTAGTCCCAAAAAGGAACTACTTTGGGGCCTATGGGTAAACCCAGCACATGCCCTGGACTGGGTGCCCATGCGGCTGAGGACGTGGAAGATGGGATTGGCGGCCAGTTGCGCAAGACCAAGGCCTGGTTTCATTGTCAAAGAGGGTTAGGGTTTAGGGTTTAGGAAAGTTTAGGGTTTAGGGTTTAGGGTGTAGGGTGTAGGGTGTAGGATTTAGGGTTTTGGGTTTAGGGTATAGGGTATAGGGTATAGGGTTCAGGGTTTAGGGTTCAGGGTTTAGGGTATAGGGTTTAGAGTATAAGGGTTCCTTTACGGGTTCCCAGCTCCCCGATGACCTCCGTACGGGGTAAGGGTTTAGGCTTAGTAGTGCTACTGTTCTTGCTCCTGATAGCCACAGTGTAGTAACCTGTTATGTTAGCGTCCCAGGAGATTGTTTACCGGCTCGGAAAGTCCAATATGCCTTAATGGAGGGAACATGCCTTGACGGAGACATCTCCAGAGCCACGGTTTATGCATGTGCTTGGACCAGGCCGGTGTTGGGCACTCTCCCAAAGGGTCCAAGTATCATTATGGTATACACTTAGACCCCCAAAATGCCCTATAAGTAATCATTATGGGCTATACTTGGACCCTTTGGGTCTGGGAGGAAGGGATGAGAGTCAATCTCTGGGCTCATGGTCCGGAATGAGGCAAAAAAACATGGTACAATATATTTATACATATATAGAGTATATATATATATATATATATATATATATACACAATATATACTTGAATCTCGAGTGGCCAGGGGAAAAAAAGAAAGAGCTTTTTATCTTTTTTCCTATTTTGTAGTTACAGGAGGATATGGGCTTGTTGATTTCAGCATTTGATTCCAGACGTCGATAAAACGGAATGCAAGCGATTTGTAACATGCCTTTTTCGAGCATGAGGTCTGACACGAATCAATACGTTTGCAGTGCACTCTGACCTGGGGCTGGGGCCACGGTACAGTTCTGTCACTGGTCTACACGGGACCCAAATGCTTAAGTCTGCACCGGGCAGCCCGAGGTCGTCTGACAAAGTCTTGCGATTCTTCAACGGATTGTGCAATGTGCAGCCTGTGTCTGACTCGTCTGACGATGTGGGCTACTGCCGTAACAAACGATCTTAGCAGCGATTCATTTCATAACGAAACATAATACGAGTTGAGACCCAGGCTGCACTTAAATCTGCAAGAGGCACGGATCGGAACCTGAAAGAGGACGATACTCGTCGTCCTTCAGGCTCCGATCCGCGATTCAAGCATGCAACGAGTGCGCCTCAGACTTCTGAAGCGCACCCCCTGCATGCTTGAATCACCTCCCTTTGGGCAAGTGATTCACAAGAGCAAGAGGGGCCATCCTCTGAACGGCACCTCTTGCTCTTGTAAATCACTTTCGGCACCTTGACAGAATTACTTGAACCAAGCATTGACAACCATGCGGATGGCCTTAACTCCGTCATGACCACCTGGCCGTCCGCGTGGCCTTGTCTAACATGGTGACACGTGGACAACAAGGCCCCACCTCTTTTGGAGCTCCAGCTGGTCATTACTGAGTGATGACCAGCCGGAGCTCCACAGGAGGTCATGGAAACTCCTGGGCCGAATCCAGGTCGGCATTTGCGATTCGGAGGTCATCTGATGGAGGCTTCTGAAGATATTATTACCGAGGGAGAAGCTTTAGTTGCACGACGTCGCCTGGATTCAGGAGCTCAGTGCACAAACAACCCCGGCGGTCCAGCCTCGGTGATTCACCGAGGCTGGACCGCCGGGGTTGTCGTCCTACTACAGCGCACAAACAACCCCGGCGTTCCAGCCTCGGTGATTCACCGAGGCTGGAACGCCGGGGTTGTCGTCCTACTACAGCGCACAAACAACCCCCGGCGGTCCAGCCTCGGTGATTCACCGAGGCTGGACCGCCGGGGTTGTCGTCCTACTACAGCGCACAAACAACCCCGGCGGTCCAGCCTCGGTGATTCACCGAGGCTGGACCGCCGGGGTTGTCGTCCTACTACAGAATTAAATTTCACCAGGAGACAGCCCGGACGTTAGATAGGCCGAGAACTGCCCGTGGCGCATGCGCAGCACTCCACTAAGCAGCTCACCTGCATGGTCTGACGTAGTATCAACACAGCCTCAGCTAGTCTTTATTAAATTGTATTACAGATGGGTTCTGACCAAGTTCGGTCGAGCTCAGTGGACAGATTCTCCAGACCACATGCCACAAAGCAGCTCCCCAATAGTCTTACCAATTAATTTTATGAAAATGACCTGCTGCTGAACTGCAAACTGCAGGGCGCACTTGCTGTAGACTGTAGACCTGCATCATGTCGGCTGGTGGTCTGACTTGACAACAGCCTCAACTTCGGAACGGTGGCTCACAGCCGTTGTCAAACGCGACAGACTCCTGAATTAAAATAACAGAACCAATGAACTTACACGATACTGACTAGAATTAATCACAGTACAGCTGTAGCCATCTGACGGAGTCTTCGCGGCGGCACGGTCTGACGGAATCCGCAGTGTCCAATAAGGACCCAAAACAGTCAGACGACTTCTGGTTCCCCAAAGCCTACTCTTAAACTTACTAGTTTACAACTGCACCCACAGTCTTACCACACACTGGCTGGTTCCGTGATCTAGATATGCTTCTACTCTTGCTACTACTACCACTAGTGCCTACTTAGGTACTACTACCATCACCACTTCTTACTACTACGATTGCTACTAAGACTACTACTGCTACTACTACTGCTACTACTACTACTACTGCTACTACTACTACTACTGCCTACTCCTAAGTATTACAACTACTACCAAGTTGCTGCTACGACGCTACCGCTACCGCTACCGCTACCGCTACCGCTACCAGTACCACTACCACTACCCTACTACTACTACTACTACTACTACTACTACTACTACTACTACTACTACTACTACTACTACTACTACTACTACTACTACTATACTACTACTACTACTACTACTACTACTACTAATACTACTAATACTACTAATAACTGTATAATGCCGGAGACGAACATCGTCTTACCAACAAGAATAACTAAATAACAGCAGCAATAGTTTGACTTGCGTAACACTACGCAACCCAAAACCCGAAACCCTAAGCCCTAACCCAAACCCTGCACACTGCTGGCTATTTGTTTGGTCGAGATCAGTCCTGTTTCGGATCGAAGCTAGCTTTGGGTCAGAGGGGGGTCGGGGCTTTTGGATCCTGAATATGGACGTCGGTTTTGGGCTGTAGTCTGGAGTCTCCAGGAGAGTGCTTCTGAGGAGTGTTTGGACGAATGATGAGTATGGACTGGTGGGGGGGGCGACATGCTAAACCTGCGATCAGTAATATGAATACAGAAGACTTTGAAAACAACGCGGGTCATTGAAACCATGTCTTCTTTCGTCACGCGCGCACGCCTGTGCATCTCCGCCATTGCCTGCAGTGATAAAGCATGTGAGGTCTCTGTGGCCAACTGAGGCGATGAGCTTCCGCATGATCGGCTGAAAGTTTTTGGATTCTGTTCTATCAATGCGCAGACGCACATGTGTGCAGCCAGCTCGCCTCATGCAGACTAGCCGCCGGTGGCTACTACTACTACCTAATACTACTACTGCTACGACTACTTACTAAAGACCAAGACGACTACTACTACTAGTACTACTACTACTACTACTGCTACTACTACTACTACTACTACTACTGACTACTACTAGACTACTACTACTACTACCACTACTACTACTACTACTACTACTACTACTACTACTACTACTGACCCACTTACCTACCCTGTGCGACTATACTACTACTTTATTAATTGCTACTGCTAGTGTCATTAATAAATGCTCCTAAATTTGCTTTCGATCTCTAAGGTTTATGGGTCATCTGACTGAATCCGGTGCTTGCTGCGGAAAAGTTGGCAACTTCAGTAAGTTGCGGTCTTACAATGGCTCAGACATATGGCCCAACGCATCCCATGAAGCAGCCACACCTTTGGTGCTGCGCTTCCTGGGATGCTTTGTGCCCCATGCACAACTTCTGACAACGAGGACCAGCAGTAGTAGTAGTCTTACAAGTTTAGTTTATGCAATAATATATACATATTATTTATTAAATTATTATTATAACAATTGATTCTTACGAAGCTTACTATCTTATTCTTGAAGCCAAAACCCCAGGCCGCCCCAAGCCCCCCTGCCTACCACCTCGGTCTAAGCCCCCAAAATCCTTAATTTTCAAACCTATTATTTTAAAAAAATTAATCTATTATTTACTTTAAAAACCATGTGCATCGCAGAGCCTTCCTCTGCCTGCCGCCGGCTGCCACGGAGCTGCACCACACCTGTGGCGAGGGAAGGCTTAGGTTTCAGGAAGTGTTTAAAAAGTTTGAAAAATTTTGGAAAAGCAAACGTTGCTATTTGCCTCCTGAAGCCCTGAAGCGCTTGGGATGCCGACGATCAGCACGACAAGGACTGCCATGATCCCGTTTATGGGACGGGCAGAGCCACGCCACCCCCCACACCAAAGAAAAAAAACCACCTAGTTGCTTGAAATTTGGACGGGGGACCGGGGGCGGTGTAGGGTTTGGCTTCTATTGATTATCTGAGTGTAGTTGGTTGTAGTAGTAGTAGTAGTTAATAGTAGTAGTAGTAGTAGTAGTAGCAGTAGTAGTAGTAGTAGTAGCAGCAGTAGTAGTAGTAGTAGTAGTAGTAGTAGTAGTTACTTAGTAGTAGTAGTAGTAGTAGTAGTAGTAGTAGTAGTAGTAGTAGTAGTAGTAGTAGTAGTAGTAGTAGTAGTTAGTAGTATAGTAGTAGTAGTAGTAGTAGTAGTAGTCGTCGTTAGTACCAGTGACAGACTAATATTTAATAATAAGAATAATAATAAGTCAGTCGCAGTAACGCTAGTAACTGACGTAGTAGTAGTGATCTGTTGGTAGTAATCATGCAGTACTGCTGGTCCCGTGTTGGAAACAAACTGCGGAACTGGTCTGACATCCACAACGCCTGAGCTGGTTGCTGAAGCCTTGAAGCCGCTCTCAGATTAAAACAGACGTTCAAAACAACTATAACATTCACTTATCAGGCAGCTGGATGTCGTCTGACCGAATGTCGAGCGCAGTGAGCAAACTGAACGTGTTGCCGTCTGACTCCCAAGTCAACGAAACGGTTGTGCCCTGGGTTGCTGCTTGAGTCTAACAAAGCCTTGCTAGCACAGAATCCAAAGTCTAAGGACCGAATTAACTAAACTGGTCGTTGACTCTTACCGATGTCATCTGACCGCAAAGATGTGCTCAGGCAGCAACATGCAAAACTCCAGACCAATGGCGAAGCACTGCATAGACGAAGTGGTTAGTTAATTAATATTTAATACTAGTGGTAGTCGTCGTCGTCCAAGTACTCGTAGTCGTAGCAGTAGTAGCAGTAGTAGTAGCAGTAGTAGTAGCAGTAGTAGTAGTAGTAGTCTGTAGTAGTTGTCGTAGTAGACGTAGAAGTAGTAATAGCAGTAGTAAGTAGGAGTATTATTTTAAAAGTCTGTACTAGTAGCACAGTAGTCGGTAGTAGCAGTGATGTAGTAAAGTAGTAGTAGTCAGTAGTAGTAGTAACCAGTAGTAGCAGTAGTAGTAGTAGTAGTAGTAGTAGTAACTAGCTAGTAGTAGTAGTCGTAAGTAGCAGTAGTAGTAGTCGTCGTCGTAGTACTACATACTACTACAGTAGCAGTAATACTCCTAGTCAGTAGTGGTAGTAGTAACGTAGTCAGTAGTAGGGTAACAGCAAGTAGCAGCAACAGGCAGTAGCACGTGGCAGCAGCAGCAGCAGTAGCAGTAGCAGTCGCGGAAACAGTAGCGGTATCGGTCGTATTTAGATTAGTCGTAGACAGTCTGTCCTACCAGTAGGTAGTAGTAACAGTCGTAGTAGCAGTAGTAGTAGTACTAGTAGTGGTAGTAGTAGTAGTAGTAGTCAGTACTACTAGTAGTAACTAGTAAATAATACTAGTCGTCTAGAAGTAGTAGTAGTAGTAGTAGTAGTAGTAGTAGTAGTAGTAGCAGTAGCAGTAGTAGTAGTAGTAGTAGTAGTAGTAGTAGTAGTAGTAGTAGTAGTAGTAGTAGTAGTAGTAGTAGTAGTAGTAGTAGTAGTAGTAGTAGTAGTAGTAGTAGTAGTAGTACTAGTAGTCAGTAGGGTAACAGCAGCAAGTAGCAGCAACAGGCAGTAGCACGTGGCAGCAGCAGTAGCAGCAGCAGCAGTAGCAGTAGCAGTCGCGGTAGCGGTAGCGGTATCGGTCGCAATTTAGATTAGTCGTAGACAGTCTGTCCTACCAGTAGGTAGTAGTATCAGTCGTAGACTTCCAGTCCTAATTTAGCCTGCCCCACCCAGACGAGAAGTGCCTATTGCCAATAGACACTTCTCGTCTAGTTCGCTACAGTGCAACGCCGAGTCTGACAACCGAGCGACAATCAGACGAAGCTGCTGCCGTCAAACTGCGAGGACTGCTTGCTTATTTAATTATTATTATTATTATTATTTTCACCTAGGGAGCACAACCACGCCCAGACGAGAAGTGTCTATTGGCAATAGGCACTTCTCGTCTGGGTGGGGCCGGTTTTAAATTATTACATAAATAGCCATAATAATAATTTAATAATGACTAGTGTCCTCAATGTCTGACGGCGCTCGCGTGAAAAGGCAACTTCGGAAAGCCTCTCACTCCAGTGTCGCCTGCGACAGGAATTTACAGGAATTCAAAACTGCATGCGAGACTGGCTGTCTTACGCAGAGTATACTACTGTCTGACACTGAAACTGGCAGGCATGAACGACTGGCTCCACTTGCAATCCGGAATTTTCAATACGCTGATTCTGCAGAATCAGAGTCGGACTGGCCACGGTTTTGTCTGACACGCAGCCGTCGAGGTCTGACATCAGACTTCAGACTCACACTTCAGAAATTTAAATCGCGTCGCATTGGAATGCAACTGCTGTCAGACAATCAAAACTTGACTGGACAAGTCTGACGCGGTCTTACTCAGCCGTACCCTTCTGGAAGAATTTCAAATGGGTCAAAATCGGCAAAAAGGCCTTGATCAGCATTGGAGCCCTCATGCCATTGCCGCACAAGTCGCGAAGCTCTGACAAGGTCAAGCAGTCGGCATTCATGTCTGACTTACCAAAGCCCAGTGCCACCATGTAGTCTGACTTCGTCATGAAACCCTTCTTGGCAAAGTTGTACCACATTGCACCCGTCGTCAAAACGTTCAAGCAACCGTCTGACCTGTAGTGTCCCCTGTCCACGGTCTGACTCAAGTCTGCCAGGGGGTCTGACTTTCCGATGCCTGCCCCTTCCAGCATCATCTCATACACGTCTGCTTGTGCCCTGTACCAGGGCGCCATGTGCTTGAGAGTCTGACTGGCTCGCTGTTCCACCGGCTTTGGCTTGTCTGACTCCAGCAATCTTTTTGCCGCGACTGCTTTCCTTGGACAGAGACGGCCCGCAAACTGACAGCGGCAGTATTAAGTCTTACTCAGTCTTACTCAACATAAAATGAAAAAAACTCCTCCACACCAAGACTCTGACATGCTTCTGCGAAGCAGCGATGGTAGTCGACATCGTTCTTGAGATTCACCAAGTACGTCGACGGCCCCTTCTCTGACCAAGAGAAGTTTGTAGCAGCATCATGGCGGAAGAACTTGCTGCAGATGTCGTTGAGCTCGGTGGTCTGACTAGCCCAGCCCAAAGCAGAAAAAGTGGGGACTGACGAACCCAGCAGCAGCAAACGTGAGCGAGCCTCTGACATTGGCAAGGCATCCACAATCACGCTCTGGTGCGTAAACTCAGGGAGGTTGTCTGACAAGTAACGCTCATACCAAGCCTTGGGCGACTCTGTCTGACCAGATCCGCGAGTCTTACAGGCCCCCAACACATTCTCGAAGAGATAGAACTTGGGCGAGTACTTCTTGACAAACTCAACACTCTGCACGAACGTCTGACACTCGGGCTTCTCCAGGTCGATCGGGTCTGACTCCCAGCGCCTGCTGTTCGCTGCACTGTTCAGCTTGCAGCTGAAACCCGACACGAAGAGGTCGAGATTCTTGAGATGCTCGTCTGACAAAGTGCAGCAACGATTGTGAACCCAGCATGGGCCCTTCCCTCTGACGGTGTGCGCGATGTCGGTCAAGAGGTGGTCGAAGTGCATTGTCTGACCACGCTGTTTCAGCAGGAACAGCGCCGCCGGAGTCTTTATCTCTGACCCAGTAATGCATCGTGTCTGACATTGTGTGAGGTTGTTCAAGACGTAGTGTGGCAAGCCGGTGCCGTCGCAACCACTTGCCACCATCAGCTTGGGTGGCTTGTCTGACGGGAAATTAAGGCCTGACTTCTCCATCAAGTGTTCAAGAAAATAGTCGAACTGCCAGGCCTCTCCCGTCAGAGTCTCCTCCTCTATCTCTTGGCGAGGTGTCTGACGCTCAGGCTTGACCTTAGCCTTCGCAGCAGCCGGTCGTTTCAACGACGCCGATCCCGCACGCTTCGTCGTCGGCATGCCGGACGCAGGCAAGAGACTCTGACTAGTGGGCAATGTCTGACACTTGAACCCAAGTGTCAAGCCAACAACATTCGTTCAGAATCTACAGCGATGAAACTCTCCTGCCAGAACTGCGGATTTATAACAGCACTCTGGCCTGTGAAGCTCCTCTTGCTCCGGCGAGCCCTCGGAGGATCTGACAGCACCTGGCAATTGACAATCGGCAACACAACTACTCAGTCAGACCTGAACTTACTTGGCAACACGGGTGACTACACTCGCAGCTGGCCTCCACAGCTCAGCTCGCAATCATGGTCGGCCATACAAGTCGTATAGCCCACCACAGTTGCGAGTTGGCCGAACGTGCTGGTGATCGTGGATCCGCTGCCTGTGTCGGACACGCTGTGACTTTGTCCCCTCGACCCCGTGCACTACGCTCGACGGACTGCTGGCACATGTCTGACTAGCAGCTAGGCATTCAAAGATTCGGGGCCACTGCCAATCGAACTGACGGCGGGCTCCGTGGCTCACCCAGATTGGGGCCAAGTCTGACCATGGCTCACCCAGATTGGGGCCAAGTCTGACCATGGCTCACCCAGATTGGGGCCAAGTCTGACCATGGCTCACCCAGATTGGGGCCAAGTCTGACCATGGCTCACCCAAATTGGGGCCAAGGTCTGACCGTGGCTCACCCAAATTGGGGCCAAGGTTCGCCGCACTGACCATGGCTCACCCAGTTTGCTGCTGGGGCCAAGGTTGGTCGAACAAACCGTGGCTCGCCCAGATAGTTCTAATAATTTAATTTAATAAAATAATTTCTGAATCTGAACCAGCTTGCCAACAAAAGACTGTCAAGTTACTGGCAGAATCTGACACCAGGCCTCCCATGCAGGTGCTGACTCTGACCCAGTGTCCCCCGAGATTGCCCCGGGGTGGTATGTGAAGCTATCTCCGCCCCAGCAGATGCATTAGCGTATAAAACTCTGCTGTCATACACCTGGTGCTGGTGTGTTGGCCTCAAGGCGGCGACCACTCGACCAACGTCAAGTCATGAAGACTCTGACGGACAGCAATGAGTCAGCGAAGCCTCACACCCGGCCAACGGTGTGTAGGGAACACTAACAGCACCTGTTCCCCAGCGGTAAGGCCAATCTGACGTGATTCATTCAATGCCGGAAACGACGGGAAGGCCGTGCACAGATGACTGAGCCTCCCAGGTTCAATGTCTTACTAAGACACGCCTTTACCTGAGATTCCCCAGGTGCTGGCCACCACAATGCCCCAACAGGCGCGTTAGCGCTTAGCCCTGTTGTCATACGCCTGGCGCCGGCGTGATGGCCAGAAGGCACTGACTGGTGGCTGGGCAGCATGCCACTCGCCCCACACCCGGCCAGCGGTGTGGAGGGAACACTCTAAAGCGCCGATGTTCCCTCTTGGTAAGGCAAACCAGGACCAAAACCATCAGTCAAACAGCAGCACGCTGACAATGCCAACGCAGCAATTGGACAATGATGACTGACACATGCCATGGACTGCTAGTAACGCCTCCTTTCGTCGTGGTCTGACAACGGCTCGCCAACTATTTCATGTCAGAGTCCTGTGACCAATGCGACAGAACATGCAAGCATGGCCACAGAACTTATGCTCGAACTTCTGACTCATGCGGCGACCACTCAACCAATGTCAATGTCATTGACTCTGACGGACAATAAGCGTAGGAAACACTGAAGCACCGGCCAATCTGACTGACTTGCAAGCCAACTCATGTCGTGGAATGCAAATGGCAAGGAAACGACGGGAAGGACGTGCACAGATGACTGATAGCCTCCCATAATGTCACATGCAGCCTGTCCCTGAGATTCCCCAGGTCCTGGCCACACTGCCACAGTGCCCCAACAGGCACATTAGCGCTTAGCCCTGTTGTCATACGCCTGGCGCCGGCGCGATGGCCAAAAGGCACTACTGACTGGCGGCCAGGCACCATGCCACTCGCCCCACACCCGGCCAGCGGTGTGGAGGGAACACTCTACAGCGCCATGTTCCCTCTTGGTAAGGCCACTGGGCAAACCAAACAAAAACCATCAGTCAAACAATAGCATGCTGACAATGCCAACGCAGCAAATGACTGACAGTCACCATGCCTGGACTGCTACAGTAACAGTATGGCCTCCTCTGGTCGTGGTCTGACACCGGCTCGCCAGATAATTTTGTCCTGTCAAGGCAGTTCGTCTAGTGACCAATGCAAAGGAACATGCAGGCATGACCACAGAACTTACGCTTGAACGTCTTTTTACTGCAATGCAAGTGAAGTCATACACAACGGGCCGTCGTCTTACCGACCCACAGCCAGGGCCAAAACAGTCTGACAGGTTCAGACAAAGCCCGGGGATGGTCTGTCTGTCTGACCACTCTTAAAAAAGGTCTGGCCTAAGATGCAGACAGACCAAAGTTGAGGCCGGCCAGCAGCAGCATGATCGCTGCTTTGGGCACAGAAGCCATGGCCGCCAGCGTCTGACATGCAAAGAAATGGTTGCAAAGACTTAAGTCGAACGTGCACCCATGCAAACGAGAGGTCTCGGCAAGAGTCAACTCTGCGACGTCTGCATCCGTCTTACATAGCATGTTCGAATTTGCAGTCAGATGCGAGGCCACCACCTCGAACTGCGGGTCCAACACCTTGAACCTCTTAGTCTTGCGACCTCCATCCAGGAAGACCGAAGTCGGTCGGTCTAACGCCCTCTTGAGGATGTTCCTGGTGTCACACGTGCTTCGTGGGTATTTTCCAGCCTCCGCACCTGCTATCCGACATCTGCGAAGAAAAGGTCTTAGTCAGTGCTACATAATTATTACACCTGCTGCACATTAAAATTAAAAAGAACCAACCCCGCCTTTCTTAGCAGCAAGCTGCATGGCTTGCTCTGACGATATGTTGGCGCCTCCAGTGGCGAGATAAGTCCCGAGGTCATGCTCCAACTGCTCCAGGACTTGACGATACTTGGTCTTTGTCTCGGAAGCAACGGTCTCACCAGAGCTGGAGAACCTCAATCACGCAACATGTTGTCCATTACAACAACGACGACGACTGTCAAAATTAAACATGCAACCGAGCCACATGAGGATGAAACAACTTCGGTCTGACTGCTGCGATGGATGTCCTTGGAACTCCTCGGCCAATTGACATCTCTTACCGTTGCCAGTAATTAAGTCAGACTCTTCGGTCTCCAAAACGAGCCGGAAATAAGCTGCTTTGCTGGCATGCAAGTCAACGTGGAGGACGACAGTGGAGACTTTCTCTGACACCTTCTGGATCTTCGCCAGGTGTTTGTTGAAGTCTTTGTCTGACTTCCAAACCACGTGTGCCAGGAGCATTCGCCTAGCCACATCCGCTGCGTCTGACGAAAGCTTGCTAGCAGCATTGAAAGTCATACCAGCTGGAAAATGCTTGTTGCACCGCATGCGAAGTTCCTGGTCCTCGCGGCTAGCCACCAACATCTTACACTTAACCTTTGCCCTCACGAAAGCACTACTTGTCAGACAGTGGAATACCGCTGGATGCTGGTAAGTCAGAACGTCGATGTCTGCCGCAGCCTGGCCCAATCTGTCACTGTAGCCGGAAAGATTCATGGCGGTTTGCTGGCTTTGACTGGCTGAGAATTACAGAAAATAATTAATTATAGTAGGCCAAGAACTAGAATCGCTGATCTGACTGGCAATAGCTGTGTCTGTGTTCCTCCGGTGTCTGACTGTAATCCAAAACTGATAATTAATCCCAGGCATTGTCCCGGTGTCAACAGCGCACTGTCAGCGAGCATCACTACAATCACTCTGACGGGCACATTTTTCCTCGAACCTCAGAGTCATGTGTCGGCAGCTTGGTGTCCTGACTCTAGGCTGGCCCATGCCCCATGGGAGTCGAATCTAAACTGCAAATCTACTACTCATATTATTGCTCATGATTCTGATTCTAAAATAAAATTAATTATAGTTTAACTTGGTCTTACTTATTTAATAGTTAAATTTAAACAGATTCAACAACCCAGGGCCAGCCCCTGTGTCTGACGAATGGAACGAGTCATAACGATCGACAGACTCAGTCGAGTCGACCTTGAACCAAGACCTCTCTCTGACGTCTACATCCAAAATTAAAATCATCTGACGGAAGCGTGGTGAATCACACCTCCGGGTCGCTGTCTGACGCATTGCTCCTGCTGTCATTGCTCTGCAGGTCACTCATCTGACGCTTTCGCTTCAGCGTCGGCCGTGGCTCTGGCTGCTCCGTCTGACTTTCCTGCAGCTCGTTCGTCTGACTGTTGCTGCCGTCGATGCGGCCATCTCCATTGGAGCTGTGGCCTCCATCCAAGGATCTGACGCGGCTGAGCACACGACGTGTGAAGCCATTGTTCACACCTCTGACGACCTCCAGCATGATCTGAAATGTCAGTGTCTGACGCAAGGCGTCTGACTGCGAGGGCAAGCAAAACGCCACGTATGGAACCCTCTCTCTGACGGCTTGCAGCGCTGCCATCCCCGGTCCCGGTGTGAAATCCACAATCCGGTAGGTGCCCGGGCGTCTGACTCCATACAGGTTGAACATCTCGGCCCAGAAGAGTTCTGACGGGGACCATGCGAACCACTGGCAGCAACGATCATCCGTGTTGGCGCCGTCGGGAATGGGCTCTGACCCTTGGCTATCCTGCTGCTCGCCTGGCATATGATCTGACGGATCAGGAACTTCTCCGTCACTGTCTGGCTGTGAGGCTGCTTTGTCTGACGACGAGGAAGCAGCACCCACCTTCTTCATCATCTGACTGAGCACGTCCCTTTTGACCATAATGTTGGCCTCTGACTGCGTGCGGATGCTCAAGCCCTGCAAGCTTCTGGTGTAGTTGCTGCCTGGGAGGTCCAACCATTTCCTTTCACGCGTCTCCATCGTACATTTTGTCTTACCGAAGACAAACATGTTCTCCACAGGGTCCGGCAATGCAATTCTGCTCGTGATTTTGCCCATGGAGCCATTCTTTCTGACGTAACCATCCTTGGTAAACTCGTTGTTGTGGTAGCAGAGTCTGACCGGTACGGCGAGTGGCTTCTTCGGGTAGTCCGACATGGGGCACATCTTCAGGATTTGTCTGACCTTGTCTCAAATATGATATGAAGACTAAACCTTTAATATTCAATGGTTCATTCAGAATCCTGTCTCACCTATCTTGTGCAAGTCAAGACGCGATGCGACCCATCTTGTTGAAGTTGCTCGACCTGCGGGCATCCTTCAGGAACAAGAGGTCATTCTTGCGGAAGAATGTATCTGTCGCTGAAGGATCACCCTCTGGCGCCAACAGTGACGTCAGCACGCTCTGGTAATGACTTTCGTCCAGTGGAGGAAGCAGTCGATAGGTCTTACCAGACAATGCAGCCCTGTCGTACCGGCACGTTGCATCATAGATGTACAGTACCCTGTCAACCTTCCCCCCGGACTGGGCCAGGGCCTCTTTCCACTTGCTGTTGTCTGGCTCCTCAATGAACGTAGCGTACTGTGTCAGACCTGAGAGGCCGGTGGTCTGACACACAAAATTGCAATAATAATGGGTTCATGACCTGACTGACTGAAGCCTCAGGGTTTCTTAAAAGTAAGAACCTGACGAGAGCTGGCAAAGGAATACATGTTCTGCACGGCATCTGGCGAGACGTTGTGGAAGCTGTCTAACGCCAGACTGGGCAGAGTCAGTGAAGGAAAAAGATCTGACTCCAACATCTGACGAACCATTTCGTTTTCCTTGCTGATCACCTGCTCGTCCTCATTCTCCGCGAGAAGCTCGTCCACTACGGGCTTTTCGACAGAATGATCTGACGTAAGATGCTGTCCCAGAACCAGGGTGGCCTGCGAGTCATTGCCATCGTCCACAACACTCTCCGAGGCTGCGGTCTGACTGTCCTGCTCGCCAGCTGCCGGCGTCGTACTCGGTGGCGGTGGCGGTGCGGTCTCCTCCTCGTGCAGCTGGAGAATCTTGTCCAAGTCAAACAAATCCTTGCTGGCGGTTGTAAACAGGAAATTTGTTTTAAAAGTGAAAACCCACACTTGCTTCTTTGTCAAAACTCTGGGTCCTCGGAGGCGAAGTCTGACGATGCCAGAATACCTTCTGCTGACATGTTCGAGTCTCTGGAAAGGCATTTCAGGAGAATGTGGTCCGCGTTCCCGTCATACAGCATGTGGAGACCTGGTGTCTAACAGTAACACCAAATCAAATCAGCACGCAAATGAAGCTATGGCGGGCATGCCGAATCAGACAAGCTACCCGTGGCTGCCGCTCGCTCTGACGGTCTGACGAACTTCTCCGTAAACGCTGTGACCTCTGGCGTGTTGCCGCCAGCAAGCTCCATGAACTTGCCACGAGGGAACATGATATGGAAGTCTGACCAGTCGCCAAAAACCGTTCCGATGTTCTTACATTGGATCTTCCAGGCCACATAATGGGAGATCCGACGCAAGGCCAGGAAACACGGGATGACCTTGTTGCGGATGTCCTCCCTGACGTTTTGTGCCAACGTGCCCCTGAGCAGTCTGACATGAATCCCAGCCACAACGAAGTTCAGCAGCTTGTCTTGCAGCGGAAGGTTCTTGGGGCATGATGTCTTACCGCAGAGGGTGTCGAGCGCGGCCCATTTGGCCAAGGGGTGTGTCTTACCGAAAGCGTACTCCAAGCCGTCCAAATGGTTGATTGCCACTTCAGTCATACGTTTCACGATCTTCAAGTGGCACTCCACGGTCTTCTGACCGATGGTCTCCTCCGCGAAGTTGATCTTGGAGAACCAAGCCGCAACGTCTGACGATGTATGCGGCTTGTTCTGACGCTTCAGTGATTCTGACACCTGGTGAGTTTGAAGGCACTCCTTGTAGCCAAAAAGCTGGGCCGTCAGAGCGTCCGACTTGATGTTCTCCTCAAGCTGTCGCCGGAGCCTTGTCTGACAGGAACCCAAGGCACACCGAACCACACTGGGGGACTGCAAAACTCGACTCTGGTTTGCAGCCCGGATGCACACCAAACTCGTCGTCTGACACGACCAGCTGGAAAGTAACGGCTACAGAGCAGCTGGCTTCCTCGAACCTCTTGACCACATCCATGGCTTTGGTCTCACGTGCTTGCGCGAACCCCATGAGCCAGCCCATCCTGAAGACGCTCTTGTCGGCGACTTCCCATGTCCCCGCCTCGGGAGGCGAAGTCTTACTGGTAGCACGGATCCTGAGTTGATTCCATGCTGACACGTCTGGCCGTGCCTTCTTGGTACACACAGCCGGGATGAAACTTAAAATTAATCCATGCAAGATTCGTAGTGGCATGCTGCGGCTGGCAAATCTTATCCGTCAGGAGACCATCTGACGTACAGAAGTGGTGCTTGTAACTTCTGACAATACTTCCGTAGTTTGGCCAGACATCTGACTCGAATGCCTCAGCTGACATGAATAGAACAGGGACCAGTGAACTGAGCGATCAGTCTATGGACTGCGACGCTGTCTGACTGCCTCAGGCTGGTGCCACCAAACCGAGCCAGTGCAAGGGCACCACACACGTGTACTTGCCTTTGTCTGACATCTCCTGAGCGTAGTTGGCGCAGTCAAACGCCTGGATGCCAGCGTAGGCAATGGGTCTGACATCGGACTTCTCCATCTCCTCGACATAGTCCAGAAGAGGTGCCAGGATGTCTGCCGCCACACGCCTGTGATTGTGCACCGGCGAGGTGCTCATGCTTGACACCGTCGCCGCTGCTTTCTGAGACGGTGTCTGACAAGCTTCCTGCTGAGTCTTACAGTCAGCTGGCTTCTCCGCAGCCTTGGCCTGAGCTGCCTTCGGCTGAGCTGCCTTCGGCTGAGCTGCCTTCGGCTGAGCTGCCTTCGGCTGAGCCCCCTTCGTCTTCGGCTTAGGAGCCATGGGGTCTGACAAACAGCGTCGCTTGATCGTCAATCTGACAGCTGCAGCAGCAAACTAAATGCCCCGTGAGCTCGTGAACCGTAAATGGTCCTACACGCAAGCTAAAGACTGCAAAGCCAGTCCTGGTTGTCCGACCAAAGTCCGCCATATGTTCCTGTAGGCACCTGTGACAAAAGCACAAGTTCCCAAAAGCATGTCATTGTCAGATTAAGATGCAACACCAAACGACGGGACGCTAGTTAGGCCTCCGGCGTCAGGCGCCCCAACTTGTGTCCGCAGCGTGCTGAGGACGCTAGTTGGGCCTCTGCAGGGCCAAATGTCCCAACATGGCAAAGTGTGTCCAGGGTCGCAATGGTCTGGGAGGGGGTTTAAGAGGCCCAACTTGTGTCCGCAGCGTGCTGAGGACGCTAGTTGGGCTTGCGGAATCGGAAGGCCCAACTTGTGTCCCACGCAATCATTTTCATCGCACACGATGACGGTCTGACCATCCAAAATCTGTGCATTAACACTCTTGCTGACTTGCTTCTGCCAGCATGCCTGCCGCACCATTTCTGATCTGACATAACAAAATTGAATTTGGTGCACTGATGGTCAGACTCAGCGTCAGCCTTTCACTCACATCAGGGCGAGCTCCATGTGAAATTTACAAAGCGTGTCTGACTTTGAGTTCGCTTGCAAAGCACACTTCCTCTGAAATGCTGCTGCTCTGACAAACACGTCGTCGATGAAGAGCTCTGCCGCCTCGTGCAGTTGTCTGACAGCATTGGGAGAGATTCGCCAATCATCCGGCTTCATCTTGTGCAACAGTTGTCTGACGGTTCTGCTGATGACCAAAGGTGGCATGAGGAAACGTTTCTGTTTGATAAGGCGATCATCCAAACTGTTTCTGTGACTCTTCGTTCCCGGCCAATGCTTTGCCGTCTTACTGGGTTTGCTGTCAGACAAACTGCGACTCCTTGTGCCAGTCTCACGCTTTCCGCCAAGAAGAAGAGCGATGTCCATGTGAGAGGCCACATCGTCTGACGCCTCCTCTGCACTCTCGGAGCTGCTGCGTGGCTTGATTGGCGATGGTTTTGCTTTACGCCGATCGTTTCTTGGAGTCTTACTTGGGCGCCTTGGCTGGGCTCGAAAAGGTGTGCCGCCAATAACCTTGTGGGGTGGAAGCTTGACCACCTTGCTTCTGACCATAGCTGGCACAGCACAGAAAGGGAAAGTCCACGACTGCTACCGTTGCCATGCTGATATTCAGGATTCGTCTGTCTGACGACGTCATGCGAACATGATCATGATTATAATTAGAACTACAGAGTGCGGTAATTACTAGACACCTGACCTGCGGCAGCTACGTTGATCCAACACCTTGAGACAAGGATTCTCCACAACGTCCTGGTCTTGTGCCCGCCAAAGCAAACGCTGTCACGAGGGCTGCTCCCTGCCTTCATTCATAATGTCCATGGTTCCGCTGCTGACCATCGTCTGACCTGATTGACATTCAAATGATTCCCAGACAGAGCTTCCGCTGAAATTCAGCAGCAGAATCCGACTGAACAGTTCGCATGTCAACCAAAGCAGGCAACGGTAACCCTTTTTTCCAACCCTTGCATGTTCATTCCGATTCAGCTTCGACTCCAGCACTACTGACTCAACACTGCTGTCTGACCGATGGCCTCACTGGCTGTGGCTGTCTTTACAGGGCATCACGCATGTCTGACCACCTTCGTCGTGCCATTTGCTACCACTGCAGTTGACGGTTCAATTCATGCGACATGTCAGGCCAGAATCAGACAAGGAGCACTGTGATCTGCTCGAAAAAATAATCAGACGTGATCGGGTTACCGCTCTTCTTGTTGATGCGGCCTTTGTCCTTCTCCCTGGACTTCTTGGAAATCTTCTCTGACATGAGGACCCACGACCTCTTCTTGGTCCTGGCACACAGTCGTTAATAATTGCGGACAACGGCATCGTACTGACATGCAACAATCAATTGCAAACGAGCTGCAGGTTCTTACGGGAGTCACGGGTGGACCACAGGCAGTTCGCACTCGCAATCTGACAGCCCACGAACACGATCTGGCTGATCATGGAGGAAAACTCTGACGAGTTATGAAGATGCAGCTCACGGGGAACACTCACAGCACGTGCCAGTCGCAGCACTGGCTGCAGCTTCCATCCCAATCTCTTACACTCCACAAGCCACTCGATTCCTGCCACCCAGCCACCAACCAAACGAGATGCCATGAGGAAAGCGGGCAACCTTTCTAACTCAGGCGTCTTATTGTCTGACTCGTCGTCGTTATTAGTCTGACCAGCAGTCTGACCAGTGGACTGACATGCCGAGCGAAGACCGCCCTGGCACACAATCTGACCTTCGTCCCCGTTTGTAAACCAAATCAGGTCCTCAACCTGGAACAGTTCCCGGAAGAATTCCACATCTGACTTCCAGGCCAAGGTCTTGATTCTCAGTTTGGCAAGCAGAGACTGCTCGTCTGACGAAAGTTCAATGCCAGGCATCAGGACGCAGCTGCAGGAAAATGATAATGTGCAGTTGTTCCTCTCTGACCATTGCAAGTCACGTCGTGTGAGGTCAGCTACTTCTCTCGCCTGCATCTCCTGCTGACAAGCTTGCAAGGTCGCCTCTGCATGCGGGTCTGACCCATCGGCCAGAAGTTCCAAAGCCTTCCTCTTCTTGTCCTGGACGGACCGCGCTTTGGATTGTTCAATGCAAAGGTAATTAAAATTACATTTCGAAAAATGTCAGTCACTAATGGGCTAACATCAGGCCAGGTGCTTGATTGTCTCGCATAGTCTTACAAAGGCTTTGCTGCTTGGCGGTGGCTTTCTTGGTGGCCGAATTCGCAGTGATTTCCTCAAGGCCTGCTTGCTCCAAAGTCTGGTCTGACCCTGATGCCTCCCGCTGTTGCTTCATCAATGATGTTATCTCATCATGTCTGACTCGGAGAAAGCCCTGAACGCCTTTAGGAGCAGCTGTCTTCTCTGACAATTTTCGTCTTGGCAGGTCTGGTGTCTTCCGCTGATTCTTAGCCGTCCCAAAAGTCTTGCGATACAAAGCCTGACATCGCAAAATCATGTCTGTGGAGGTGTACTGCATCTTGCCGTCTGACGAACGACTCATAGGACACAAGTCTGACACCGACGGCCCATCAAGCAGAACCTTGAGCAAGTCCCGCAGGTGTGTCTCACAGATGCGACTCTTCAACTGAAAAAGCTGAAGGTAGGAGAAATCTTGTTCTAGCTCTGACGAGCTCACCCAGATGCTCAGCATGAAGGGAACCTCATCGCTCGCAAAGGACACACGCCGAGTCTGACAAAGGCCGCCAAGACTCTTGAATCTGACTCTGATTGCCACCAAGCAGCCAGATTGTTCAGTATGGGAAGTGTCTTACGGCCCCAGTGCCGCAAGACCTCTGGCCAAAATATTTCTGGATCCGTGCATCCCCTCCTGCAAAGACTTTTAACAAGCATGTCAGTCTAAAATCACAATGATATTAATTTAAATTCAGAGTCTACAAAACGACAAATACAGCCTGATCGCAGCCAGTGCTGTCGGTCTGGCCACCAGCAGCTCCTTCACCAGCGGTTCCACCTGGTGACCAAAACTAAGAAAACAGTGCAACTCGTGCAAATCGTGACGGTGTGGACACCGGCCTCCACCTTGCCCACCGTCGCCAATGGCCGCAGAACGTCTGACCTCGGGCACCACTGTTACACATGATTCAAATTGTTATTATTATTTTAAATGTAAGTATTAATAATAAATATACATAATTAAAATTTCTTAGACTATACGCACCAATGCTATCAAAACGGCGGCCCAGGGACAGAGCCTTGTCATCCCGTGTCTCCACCCATTGTGTTACGTCGAAAGGCTCGAAGGCCTCTCCCAGACCAGCTTCGTGGTCTGACAAGACGCTTTGAAGATAGGCTCGCTTCATGTTGGCGATGGAGCCGAGGCCGTCAGCGATCAGACACTTCAGATCCAAGTCGTGGCCTTGGCTGACAGATTGAGGTCTGAATATATTTAAATTTGCAGAATGTGAGCGGACTGTGCGCCAATGCCACGCCAAGCAGCTGTAGAGGCGATACAGCAACCGGCCCTTGTGGACAACAGAGAACGATTTCTGACTGCCTCAGAGTCGGAGACTTGTGCTGCCAAACCTGGATGAAAAGGTCTGACTGACTGTGCAGCAAAGGCACCGAACTTCAGAGCTTCAGCTGCAATCTGACAGTACCCGTGGGTGAAGTTCCGATCTAACACGAGTGGCTTGTGTTTCGTCCCGTTGATCTCATAATCAAACAACCTTGCCAGCATTTCTGACACCATCCGGGACCTCCGAGATGCGAAAACAATCCTGCTAACAGCATTGCCATTCACATTCTTCTGACGAGAGCCGCTGCCACGAGTGCCGCCCTGATTGTCAAACGAGTGGATGTGCTGTCTGACGCACGACATGAACTCCACAAGCAAGCACATGGCAATGATGTTCGGCCAGGTAAAAACCTGCAAGCTTATTATCCATCATTTATTAAACTGATATTATACACAGGTTTCACATCATGTCAGTCTGACCCACTCGCCCGGCCTGGAGGACTGACAGTGCCCAGTCACGGTTGTCGTCCGTCAAGCAAACCTTGCAAAGGAACTTCAGAATCTCGTTCAATCTGAGGACGATCAACCTAAGGGCCTCTACTGTGGAGTCCCACCTCTGACTTGCAAAGCTTGATTGCATCGCAGAGCTGGCCGAAAGCTCTGACACCACGCTGGGCTCCAGTCTTACTTCAGATCGAAACATGGATGCCAACTTTGGGCTATTTTTTAATGCCCTGGCCAAGGATCCCCTGCTGTGTGTGTCAGCAAAGCGAGTAACCAGACGATCCATCAAATAGCCCATCTTCTCGTCTGACTTGACGATCGACTCCAAGCTGGCTTGTGCCGCATGAGAGAAACATCGAATGGAGGCGTCTAACGACGGAAGAACGTT